TCGGAAAAAAAAAACTGAACTATGTTCGACAAAAAAGAAGAAACTGGGCCCACTTTACCGCCCATCAAATTCGCCTCGAATAATAATTTATTTTAACAAATCGTGGGATGTAATTGTGTACAAGTAAACGTGGACAAATGTTTGTTTAGCGTTGTACTAATTGTGTAGATAATCCTTTCTTTTAACGTCGCTTCGTGACGTTTCCCAATCATCGGCCCGTCTCTACGATCTTCAGACGATGTCTTGAATCAATTTTTCTCCATGATTCCCATTTGGTAAACACCAGAGTTGTTTTCATCATTATGTGTAATAATTTTGGATTTAGATAAGCCTCGGACATTATTTCCTAACTTAAAAATATATGGGCCTTATAATAAAATATGATAATAGACGGGAAAGGCCCATAGGCCCAGAAGAGCTTTTGCTTATATAAACCCTATAATTGTTGTTGCTTCATTGGGAATCTGACACAATGGAGCCAATTTTCATCCTGATCAAGCCCAACGGCGTCCAGGCTGGTCTTGTACGTTTCCCTTCTCCGACTGTTTCTCGTTATGATCTGTGTTCCGACAAACTTGATTTTTGTCGTATCGTATCCGTTTTCATGTCGAGGGTTTTTAGGCTTGACGAGGATTCCGTTTTCTTTTGTAATTCAGGTTGGTGAAATCATTCCCAGGTTTCACTTTGAAAGGTAAGAATACCGACCGAAAGTTGATAGCTGCATAATCGTCGTAGCTTAGAGTAGAGAGACTTGTATCCAGCTCTGCTTAGTCATCGAATGGATTGTGTCCATTGATTTAGATGCATTAAGCACTTTGAGAGTATTCATTCATTGGTCTAGTTGACGATCATTTGTGGCATGGACAGGTCTTAAGATGATCACTCTGGACCGCCCTTTCGCTGAGAAACACTACCAACACTCGTCTGCCGAGCCCTTCTTCCCTCATCTTGTCAACTACATAAGCTCTGGCCCAGTCGTTGCAATGATCTTGGAGGGGGAAGAACGTACGTTGTTTCGAGTGGAAAAAAGATCATTGGAAAGACAATTCCTTGTAATGACATGGACACTGACATTGGCAGGTTAGAGCACTTGTTTCTTTATATGGTCAAGAAATGTATGTATTGGGTCGAATGAGAAATGACATGATTTGGTGCAGCAACCTGTTCCATGGGAGTGACTCAGTGGAGAGTGCTAACAAGGAGATTGCCTTGTGGTTCCCAGAGGGACGTCCTGTGAAGCTACATAGTGATGTAGCCAGACCAAAAGCCCGGTAAATTGATTGTTTGTTTTTTGAGATTTGTATCTGCAAGCTGTG